ATTCAGAGCTTCTGGGCGTTGGCCTTGCCGGCGACGAGCGAGGCAAAGTCGGCGTCGGACAGGGACAGCGTGACGGTGGGCTTGGAGGGCAGGCCCTTTTGCACGGTGCCCGTCTCCTTGAGGTCAATGTGCCAGCTGTCCGTCTCGCCGGCCGAGTTCTTGAGGGTGAAGGCGAAGACGGCGTTGCCCTGCTTGATGGCGTCCTTGCGGTCGGCCTCGCTGCTGAGGGCCGAGTTGATGGCGTCAAAGGCGGCCGAGGAGGGGAACTTGGCTGCGAGGGCGCATCGTTAGCCGGCGGTTTATTTGGCGGAGGACGAATGCGCTCGCCCTTGTAGGGAACGGCCTTTCAAGACCCCGGACAAAGCGGACCCCGGGGGGGGGGGGGGGGCTGGGGGGCTTACCCTTGGCGAGAAAAATGTCTTCGGGGGTTGGAACTGGTAGATTGGTTTCGGGGGTGTGTGCTAGGAATTGATAGAGAGTCAAACAGAGCAGAACAAAAAAGGAAGCAGAGTCTGGGGAAATGCGGAGGACAGATGTTATATTGAGGGTTGATACGGCAGTCGGAGTCGAGGGCAACAAACAGGTGGTGACGATTCCTGTCGCATGTGAACCTCGGTCCCCCCCATCAGCACGGGCTCGTGTCTCCCCATTGGACACGGCCGTGAGCACGAGCGACCGGAAGGAGCACGAGGGAAGCAAAGAGGCGGTAGTGCACGGACCGCGGGCCACCATTGTGCGGGATCCCCGCATCCGCCGAGTCAAGTCACGTGTAACACGCGGTCACGTGCTGGTCTCCCAGACATGTGAAGGCCGAGCCAGAGTGGATTGCGTCTGAGTTGTCTGTGCCTCTGTCGATGCATCCATCAGCTAGTTTTCCCGAGTCAGCAATCTCACGGGTCGGATTGCACCAAGTCGGCATTGACTGCCGAGACGTCTCCAGTATCTTGATCCAGTCCAGCGAGGTCCGACTTTCAATAAAGAGAGTTCGCTGAAAAACTTGGTCAATGCCGTCTCGGACCGTGACTGATGCCAGATGACAAGAAAGTCGTCGTCTCCAAAATCCACGGGACAGGCCTGTTGGAGTATAACGATTACAGACCCCCAAGAAACCCCAAGTTGGAGTCTTACAAGACGCAACCCCACAGGTGCACCCTCCCTGCCGACGTCGGCCAGCGTCGGAACCCCTTCATCACACAGTAACTACTCCAACTCGTCACTGTCGCTCTCACCACCTCATATATCACGCCTCACGTACTCTCCTCCACGTCATACACCAGTTCCATTTTCCATAGTATACCGGGAGAAACATCATGAAAACGGCCCTCCGAACGTTGACAGCATTGACAAGATCTTATCAAAATCCGGCCCAGAAACTCCTCAGCACGCCGCGACCAGGCAGCCTCCTCAGCACCAGATTCAGCAGCACCACCAACACAGCAAAAATGGCCTCGTCGATCCTCAAGAAGCCCGTCAAGCTGGCGTGCGTGCAAATTGCCGCGGGCTCTGACAAGCAGGCGAACCTCGACCTCGCCGCCTCGCGCGTGCGGGCCGCCGCCGCTGATGGCGCCAAGATCATCGTGCTCCCCGAGTGCTTCAACTCGCTCTACGGCTGCGACTTTTTTCCGCGCTACGCCGAGACGCTGCTGCCGTCGCCGCCGCCAAAGGAGCAGTCGCCCTCGTTTCATGCGCTCGCCGCCATGGCCGCCGAGACAAAGACCTACCTCATCGGCGGTTCGATCCCAGAGCTCGTCGAAGAACAGGGGCCCGACGGCGTCGTCAAGCGGTACTACAACACGAGTCTGACGTTTGGCCCCGACGGCGGGCTGCTGGCGACGCACCGCAAGACGCACCTCTTCGACATTGACATTCCCGGCAAGATCACGTTCCGCGAGTCGGACGTGCTGAGTCCCGGCAAAAAGGTGACGATTGTCGACCTGCCCGAGTACGGCAAGGTGGCTGTGGCCATTTGCTACGACGTGCGGTTCCCCGAGCTGGCGATCATCGCGGCGCGCCGGGGGTGCTTCGCCCTCGTGTACCCGGGTGCCTTTAACCTGACGACAGGACCGATGCACTGGAAGCTGCTGGCGCAGGGCCGGGCGCTCGACAACCAGATCTACGTCGCCATGTGCAGCCCGGCGCGGGACCCAGACGGGCCATACCAGGCGTGGGGTCACAGCATGATCGTCGACCCGCTGGCGCAGGTCGTGGCCGAGACGGACGAGAAGGAGTCGACGGTCGTGTGGGAGCTTGATGGCGCCAGAATCGAGGAGGTGCGCAAGAACATTCCCTTGACGACACAGAGGCGGTTCGATGTGTACCCCGACGTGAGCAAGGGCGACGTCAAGTACGAAGAGCCAGGGCAGCCGGGATCGTAAGCTATGAGAAGGCGCATCGCGCGGCCCCGTCGTGAATCCATCACATCCCATGTCACATTAATTACGTATCGTTGCTTCTGTATCATCGCTTCCCGCAGTCAGTCACATTGGTTGAATGTGCATGCGACAGTCATGACGGTGGCGGCGGCATCCGGGGACTCTGCTCCGGATCCGGCTTCTCTCGGAGGGGCCCGGGCCCCGCTTCTTCGGTCATGGTTTTGCCTCGCCTTGCGTTTCCCTCGTCTTTGTTTCGTCCTGCCTTTGCCTTGTTTCCTCGTGCCTGATGATGTATCCCGACCCGAAGCACTACTCGCAGTCGACCAATTTTGCTGAACGGCCTGCCTTCTCGCTCATGCTGTCAAGCAGAACCGCGTCGGCCCCAGTCTCGGCAGACCGCAAAACGGGTCAAGCAAAGGGCGCACACAGTTGCTTACTGATCGGGCGTCCTGTTCTTCATCAGCCGATTGCCGTGCCGTGATTGCTAAGCACAGAGAGAGAGAGAGAGAGAGAGAGAGCAGCAGCAGGAAAAAACCCATCTAGTCGACGCCTTTTCTGACCCCACCGGCCGCTTGCTGCTCACCCCACGTTTGTAGCTCTGCCTCTCTGCGGGAACCGACCTGACTGGCCTTGCCTTACCCTGAAAAGTAACTCAAGGCTACCAAGTCATTATTGAGCCACTGGGCCCACGGCTGGAAGCAGAAATCTTCGATCCCCATCTCCGCAACCCAGACAAACAGCGCTCCCCATCAACCTTTTGCCTGGCAGCTTTCCCCTACGAGACCATCGTCGTGCAACCAGTGCAGAGACCTGCTCGTGTCATTGATTGCCCGCCACCATCCTTTTCTCTCCCACCCCTCCCCCACGCGCCTGTCAATGATGAACCGCCGTCGAATCTGAGCCGCAGGAGGGGTAACAAACCCGCCCATTTCTATCGATTGCGCCATCCACCGTCGCGTCCCTGCTTCAACCTCATCACACCCACCCTTCCTTGTTTCGGCGTCGAGACATATCCGAGCTGCCTCCCGGTGGTTCGCGCTCTCTCGACGAGTTGCACCAGAAGGCAGACGGCTCTGCTTCGTCCTCCAGCTCCCACCACCACCCGGCCCTCGTCCGGTCTGTATTGCCCGTCATTCGCCCGTCTGCTGCGGCTCCGATAACTGCTGCATTCAGTCGCCCACCTCGGCTTTGATCGGCACTCACCTTCATTCCTCCTGCTCCACGGCGTCGTCTGGCCTTACGGCTACCTCCGTTGCAAACACCTCACGCAGTTCTCGCTTCAAATCCTCTCCACCATGGGCCTCCTGTGAGAAATATGACCCCTCCCCTCTCCCAGCCCTCTATCCCAACTCACACGCCCAGCGCCCTTGGCACGGCCCTCGACTGGCCTGACGCGAAGAAGAACGCCCAGCAGGTCCGCGAGTGGGGCATCAAGGTCTGCTACTCCTGACACCACTCCTCATACTGTTACACTCGTTGACCATCCCAGCAACTTCTCGAAATCTGGAACAAGGCCAAGGGTAAAGAGCGTGATGCCATGCTCTGGGGCGACGAGGTCGAGTACCTCGTCGTGACCTATACCCAGGACGACCCCAAAGTCCGCCTGTCCCTGCGGCAGGCCGAGATTCTGACCGCCCTCGCTGCGAGCCCCGAGCTCGCCGAAGGCGGCGGCGGTGTGCCTGACCTTCAGCATGATCATGGCGCCGATGCGGCCGCCACCAACGCCGACGAGCCCGCCGCCAAGCGCCGTTGTGTCGCCTCGAACGGGCCCGGAGCCTCAAACGGCGCTTCCGCCGCTGGTAGCGCAAAGCCTACCCTGCCCGTCTTCCACCCCGAGTTTGGCCGCTTCATGCTCGAGGCCACCCCCGGCAAGCCCTGGGGCATAGACTTTCGCGAGCTCCTCGGCGTCGAACCTGACATGAAGCTCCGTCGCCGCATTGCCAAGGACCACATGCGTCCCGACGAGTACCCAATCACCCTGACCACCTTTCCCCGTATCGGATGCCCCGGCGACTTCACAGCACCCCATTACCCTCCGTCCGGCCCCCGCTTGCGCTCCCAGTTTGTTCCCGACGAGATTGCCAACCCACACATACGCTTCCCCACGCTCGCCGCCAACATCCGCTGGCGGCGCGGCAGGAAGGTTCAGGTCAACGTCCCAGTCTTCCACGACCGCAATACGCCCATTCCCTGGAAAGACCCGACTGTAAACCGAGATCTCCATCTCTGGCCCGAGGACGAGGATGTTCGTACCGGTGGTGCGGCTCCCGACGACTTCATTCACATGGACGCCATGGCCTTCGGCATGGGCAGCTGCTGCCTCCAGATCACCTTTCAGGCCAAGAACATCACCGAGGGTCGCAAGATGTATGATCAGCTGAGCCCGCTCGGTCCCATCATGCTTGCGCTCACTGCTGCTACCCCCATCTACAAGGGCTTCCTCGCCGCCACCGACGTTCGCTGGAATCAGATCAGTCGTGCCGTTGACGACCGCACGCCCGAGGAGCTGGGTGAGAAGCCTTTGAAAAACGACCGCTGGCGCATCCCCAAGTCTCGCTACGCCTCAAACTCGACCTACATATCTACCGACCCTCGCTTGCGCCCCGAATACATGGACCCGAACCTCGTTGTTGACGAGGACATCAAGGCCCAGCTCCTCGAAGGCGGCATGGACGACCTTCTCGCCACCCACTTTGCACACCTGTTTATCCGCGACCCCATTGTCATCTTCCAAGAGGACCTCGAAGAGCTTGATCTTAACAAGACTGATCACTTTGAGAACCTGCAATCCACGAATTGGCAGCACATGCGTTTCAAACCGCCACCCGCCGACAACAGTATCGGCTGGCGCGTCGAGTTCCGGCCCATGGAGATCCAGGTGACTGACTTTGAGAACGCTGCCTTTTCCGTCTTCATGGTGCTGGTAACCCGCGCCATACTGTCCTTTGACCTCAACTTCTACATTCCCATTACCCGGGTGGATGAGAATATGGAACGCGCCCACGCCGTTGACGCTGTTCTCAAGGAGCGGTTTTACTTCCGTCGCAACCCGTTTCCCGCGCGTCGCGCCCGTGGTCTGAATGGCGAAGGCGATACGTCCTCTCGACCCGGTTCCCGTCCAGGATCACGTGCTCCGAGCCGAGCGCCGAGCCGGCCTGCCACGCCGGTGGGTGCCGTCGAAGATGAGTACACAGAGATGACGGTGGACGAAATCATCAATGGCTGTCATGATGGTTTCCCGGGACTCATTCCCATCGTCGAGAGTTATCTCGACAGCGTCAACGTCGACGTCCAGACGCGCTGCGAGCTTGATACCTACCTTCGCCTAATCAGCCAGCGTGCGAGCGGCAAGCTTGCGACAGCGGCGCGCTGGATCCGTGATCTCGTCGATGCACACCCGTCCTACAAGCATGACAGCGTCATTGGCGAGGATATACAGAAGGATCTCATTGGTGCCGTCATTGCCGTCGGTGAGCGTGAGCTGTCTGGCCAGGGGTTTGCTGGCTTGGACGTGCCCGATCTAAACCGCCTGTTGGGCAGCTTCCGCGGCGGCTGCGGCGGCGGTGATGGCATCAACCAATAGCAAAATCGTGACGATGAGGGAGCGGTGCCGGTGCTAGCGTTGTGTGCGCACACGGCGGTGTCTTTTCGTCATGGGAGGGAGCTGGAGCTGGCCAGGAAAGAGATGGACTACAACTTGTTAGTTCGACCATGTGCATGCAGGGTCCTCGCGTTCCACCAACAATAGAACTAGGTACGAATGAGCCAACCATTTGGGTTCGCGCGTGCTCTTTGGCAAGGTCTTAGACTTGACTGGCCACAGGGGTTCCCTAGCCGTCAAGATGGAACACATACAACAGAGTCACCACCCACCTGCCGTTCTGCAACAAGGTCTCGGAACATGAGGATGCCGTTTCTTGCGTGCCAATCACGGATGCTATCAGTCTCCGAGGACACGCACCTACTGAGCTGAATTGGGTTTTGAAGTGTCAAGACCTGTAGAGCCTGGACCGTGGAACGAAGCGGGTAGATCCTCGATAGGGGAGTCCCTGACAGGGGGTACCCTCCAGTGATCGGCCGGACGGGTCAATACCCGTCACATTCAGATCTAATCGATCACTTTTCTTTTTTCGTCCGAGAGATCTTGTAGCAGGCGGCAGCAACGACCAAACGGGTGTCAAGATGCGATGTGCGATCGGGTCTGTTGGTCGTCCATTGCTGTGGATAATTTTGCGCGCAACTCGTAAACACGTGGCCCAGGGTGGCAAGTTGGGCAGGAATGGAGCGGTGCGTGCCTTTGGGAGCAGCATGCGGGCGTGTGCACACATGCCCGCACACATGATGGCGGAGAAGCACGGAGATGGATGAGGTCCAGGGATCACTCGTCGCAGCATGTGGAGGTCTCTCTCTGTCTTGCCGCATCGTGGGATGAAGAAGGTTGGCTCGCGAGGGAACGAATTAGTGGTGTCATACTAGTCTGCCGGGCTATTACTCTAAGAGCGTGAAACCCGGGGCTGAGGTCAAATGATGCCTGCCGGTTTGTTTCCTTTCGCTGAGGGAGCGGTGAGCATGGAAAGGAACAACGTAGGTGTACTTGGGTGGGTAGCTCCTAAGAGGAGACAAACCATTATTTTTATTGCTTTCGATGCCCGTTTTTGGCCCTGGTGCGCGTATCTTGTTTCGGGCGGTTGGCGAACTTTCCACGCTACATCCCGGATGCTTCACGAGTCTGGCGACAGCAAGTTCGCAGCCCTGCCAAGCGAGGCGATGGAGCCAAGCCAGACGATGGAGCGACGTCCAGGTCAGAAAAAAAAAAAAAAAGAAGAGGACGCCATCCTCATAGAAGTTGTTGCCAGACCTGGCCGCGTGGCAGATAGCGGAAAGCCACATTCCGGTGAGGAGAGTAATCTTGTTCAGGAGGTATAGCCTAGGCGAATTGAGTACTATGTAGGGCGGCCAGGACGACGAGGGACCCGAGCAGACGGTAGCGCCATCTGCAGACGACGAGTAATGGTGTGGATGGTGAGATGCCAAGGGAGAGGGGTGTGTCGACAGAAGGACGTTGCAGGCGAGCATCCCTACAGTGTGCCCTGTTAGCAGAAGTTAGCTCAGTGGGGACGAGCGAGCGGGAAGGCTCAGAATCGGGACCAGGCGATTGACAGCTGGGCACTACTGTATTCTGGGCTCACGCAACGGCAGAGATAGTTGGACACGGGCTAGGGGGAAATTTAGCTTTGGCGCCGGTGGGGGGCGTGTCTCTGGCAAGTGTTGCCGTTCGCAAAGAGTTACTCGTTTCGAGGAGTGGGTGGGGGACACGGTTCCTGATCCAGGCCAGGGGTCTCTCGACATGATGACCCATCAATCTCACTCTCAGCCCGCCGCCCGCTCTCCCAGTGGTGTTGTGACTCCACGTCTACCCATGGCCCCATCGATGCATCGTGCGTCGCCGTGCGGAAAAGACCCGGTGCCCGCCCCACTCAGATCGCAACAGTCGTGGAGTCGACGGCTGGATCGAGCCAAAACCGTGGCATGGTAATCGCCAGGTGGCTGTGGAGGGGTCCAGGAATGCGAGATGAGGCGCAGCGTGGATGATGCAAGGGCAGCGAGTACAACGTCGATACGGTTTGATAGCCTGCTGTTGTCCAGAGGAAACATGTAGAAAGAAGGACTGTCAGGCGTCTTCGGTGGAGCGTCCTTTTCGATGGAGCGAGCTGATCTTTCATAATCTGGGATGGCATCGTTGGGTGCATGGTGGAAGTATCTTGAGCGAGGAGGCTATTGGGCATGGAAAATGCCCACGTGGTGGTACTATACCGTAGAGATCTGTTTATGTACCGTTAGTGGAGGATTTCACCACACCACAACACACAGTAACCGGGGAAGAAGATAGTCAGTTATCCCACCGTCGTTTTGCTCCTAAAAATACCTAGGGGGGAGAGGACAGTACCGTTCTCACGTCACTGAAGCAAACCCGCCTCACAATGCAGTCCCATACTTGCTGCGGTTGCGGATTGGCGATTGGCGCTTGGCGATCGGACGGCGCTATGATTTCCTCCTTGGCTCAGCGTGGTGCCTCATTGCATCAGTGCAGCTCCCATTGGCGAGGCAGGTATCGTATCGAGCTCGTTCCGCGGAAGTCCAGACTATTGACTGTAGGGGCGTCAGGGCTAAGATGCCGCTCAAGACCCAAAAGGGAAAGATGCCAGGAACTAGACCAAGAAAGTAGGACCCAAGGTGTCTGGTGATTAACCAAGTAAACGGGACAGCGCAGAACCACACATACGTATTGGAATGGCGAACGGAGGGTGGGCGAGGGTGTATGTAGCAAAGATGTCCTGAAGGAACGACGAGTGACAGCAGCACCGTTTTCGACGATTAATTCATTGAGATGATAGTCGTGGGAAAGCTTAATGCGTGTCCAAATCTGTGTGAATGGGTAGCCTGCTCTCCCTTCTCATGGGCTTGTGGCAGGGGAGCTTGTTGACCAATGGTGTAAAGGCGGATTGCACTCCGGCCGGTGCCGTCGGGGAGAGTCAGATGCCCGACTTCGATGCCATTCCATTCCTCGTCCTCGGCGTGTTCCCTCTCTCTTGACGGGCGTACGTTTTGTGTTATTGGTAATATTGGCCTTGGCGACTCAGATATTGCGCCGTCTACCAATCCTATTGTCATGTTGAGGCAGGCACCCCATCTTCTGTCCCTGCCGCATGTACATGTAGGTGTACCATTGAGGAAGGCTGTTGTCGACGGCCGCCTGCCTCCTGCCTCCTGCCTCCTGCCATCCCAAGGCACAGAAGGCACAAAGCACTAGACCTAGGGCTTCTGAGGGAATGTACCTGGCGGAGGCAAGCATGATCGAACTACGGTCATCCATGATGCGGCCTGCCTTGTGCCTGCCTTACCTTTTTAGGTAAGGTACGTAGGAAGTATTAGCTGGTGTGTCTGCGGCACCATAGCTCTCTGTCCGACCTTCAGACTCCATGAACCTAGGTACATTATCTATCACGAGCCACTATTAGCCGATATACTCCACCGCACCAGGTCGTTCGCGACCAGCACATGTCGGGCGTCGCATCTTGCATCTCGCATCAATCAATACTCGACCTCAAAAGCTTCGGTTGGCCTCGCCGTGCAACCCAGTACGCTTCGTACCGAAGGTGCACCAACACCATGGCGCGTCTCATCGTCACATCGCTACATCGCTCAATGACCCGCCTATACCCGATGCGCCGAGCCCACCTAACGTAACCCCCCTCCCTCCCTCTGCCTCTCTTCCTGGCTAATAACAAGTAGGTACTGTAAGTGATCGCTGCCGAACCAGGTTGCCGACCAATCCATGTCCTCATCCAGTCAATAGCAAGAGACACCATGTCTG